CATTAAACAAGACCAAAATCAGAGATGGGGATTTGAGTCAGTGACTCATACCTGAGTCACATGTTGACTGACTCACAAGACTTGACTCCAGCTCGCACTTGTATGACTTACGGCTTGACTCAGACTCGGGACTGAAGACCTGCAAATGTTTGTCCTTAAGAAAAAAAACATGAACACTTACTAATTAATTCCTAATGCATTAAATGAATAATATTTTAAATTTCCAACTGTGTGACCTCACCTGTCCATATACACATTCATTACTTAAATATCGCTCTGCAAACATGGCTTCAAATGTAGTCAAATATAGTCTTTATAAAGGCAGTAGCTAATGTAGCTGAAGGTTTGCTAAATTACAGATTACATTCCTTTAAAACATATTATAACTCCAGCAGGTTAGCTATTATAGTAGCTTGCTAGCACACCTGCTACACAAACTACAGACCAACTAACTGTTTCAAGTAGCTCTGCCTCTATTTTAAGCATTTTATTTACTGAGTGTAGCGATTTCAGGTCTGTCCTTCAAACTGATGGCTTTTTCTATAATGACAGGCTCATTACTTGAGGAAACTTTAAAGCTGATTAATTTCCACAAGTTTTTACTTTTACAAGTTTTACTATTAGCTCAGTGCAGCTAATAATGAGACTAATCTAAAAATCTCTACCAAAGACTTCAGACTCCACTCACAGACTCAAGACTCACGAATCTCTGATTTAAATGTTACAAACTAGACAACAAAAGGTGTTTTTTTATTCCTTATTCAACAATTCATGTTTGTTTGCTTTTTTTTTGGAATATCAAGAATACAGTTATACAGTAATTCTCTATTTATAGTCCTTTTTGTCAAGTTATCACCATTTTTAAAACGCAAGACATTCTGGATTTTAATTACTTCATTCTTGATTGAGCTTCTTAATACTCACCTCAGGTCTCTAATCTACATTCTAACCTTTACAACTACGGGGACATAAAAAAGAGTGAATACCAGAATATCAGAGTCACTTGGCCACCCAGTTTGTTCTGTTCGTTATAAGAGGGCGTTTAACACGGAGCTCATTATCAAACTGCTCACGGATGTTTTACTTACTTCATCTTCGTGTGTGTCTTCCTCTAGTTCACTCGGGCTAACTAGGTCAAATTGGGGTTTGGCAAAAGACCTCTTAGGCTCTGACAGAGACGCAGACTGTGTAGAAAAAATCTTTTCCTTCGCCATTTTCTATCATGGATAGAGATGGCAGAAGTTCTCTCGCTTTCGTCGTCACATCTTTCCGCTCTGGTCATCCCGCGCGAACGCAGCGCTTTTTGTATAGTTGGACACAGTCACGTGATTGGATGCTGTAGGCTGTTTTTGTAATTGTAAATAAATAAATAAATAAGTAAATATAAGTAAGTAAGTAAGTAAATAAATAAATAAAATAGAAAACAATTAAATAAAGTTATCCAGAAAAAATATCCCAAACTGTTGGCTGCCGCCAGTTGGCGTGTGAATGAATTACATACAATTTAATATTTTGTCGCAGTCTTGAGCCCTGCATGCATTTGCATCAGAACACGTTTTACTTTATTAAAAAATGGTGATTCCAAACTTCTGAATGGTGACAAACTTTTAAACAGTACTGTATCTTTACCATGCATTCATCTACTGTACCATCAGTAAACAGGTAAAAAAAAATCCTTCCATCAAATGGTGCAGGCATATTCAGCATACAAATGGAGTTACAGTAGTAATGTCTAGGGAGAAATGCATAGTCTATGAAAGTCTATAAAAGGGGGCAAATGATTATATGGTCAGCGTTAGACTGACCATCTAACTAGTGTGGGAAAATTCAGTCATAGCTAGTGTGAGAAAAGAAAATGACTTACAGTTACACACTCACATTACACATTAACAGAGACTCTAAGGCTTAAATATTAACTGAAAACTAAGAGAAAATATTCGGCAGCAACTAAGAAAAGAGTTCTTAGGTCAATACTTTCACTGAGATTAATGGGACATGGAAAAACTTGGAACAAAAGGTGGGAAATATGCCACTCCTGGAATGTATGACTATGTCCAGCACTGTCTAATAAAGGTCAAAGAGCAAGCCATGTTTACTGTAGTTCAGTTTAAAGTAAATGAGATCAGATATGGGGTATTACCTTATTTAAGTACAGAAAACAGCGAAGTAATCCATCAGCCTCTCCACACTGAAAAGACCCTACAGCAGAGCTTACATATTAACTGAAAACTAAGAGTAAATATTTGGCTCCTATTCTGGGAGCAAATAGTCCTCAGGTTAACGCTTTTAGAGAGCGAGATTAATGGAATGTGGGAAACAATTTGGGCAAATTTTGTAAAACATTCTGCTTTTGCAGTTCAGAGCCAGCCATCAGCTAATGTTGACCAACGAACCCATATGGAAAAAATATATATTCCAAATGTATTTATGAAATATATTTTTGCAATGTATGGAAATGGCCAAAAATGTATTTGTGAAATATATATTTTAAAATACATTATAAATGTATTTCCCAAATGTATTCATCAAATAAATGCTTGCAATGTATGAAAATGGCCAAAAATATTTATTTATTATTATATTTTTTATTTTTATGTAGTTTTAACAAAGGTTACAGATACTAAATATACATGAACTGAATGAATGATACTGACTTTGCATTTTCATGTACGTATGCAGCAAGACAGCACTCACGCAAAATGTACGCCAAATAAACAAAATATCAAATCATCGAACTGCATATTCTGTGTGTATCAATATCTACAACACTTGATTTTGCCATGTTAAAGGTTAATTTTCTAAAATACAAATTCAAAAGGTAACAGTAAAGTGCAGTAGACAAGTATTTTGGTTACTGTCATACTTTTTCTAATGTATTTAATAAATACATTTCCATACATGTATTTTTGTATGGTACATTTCTTTGTGTAATATTTCCCCATATATTTTAAAATAAATGTATTTTTAAATATATAGGGTTAATATGACAATATATTCTGAAATACATTTTAGTGTTTGGAATGTATTTCGGCATGGACTGCAGAGCATTTGAAATGTATTTCAAATATATAAAAATATAGCTCCATATGTATTTTTTCTCATATGGGAATTATCTGTCAGCTCTGAGGCCCATTTATCTGATGGCATCAACAGAAGCGGCAATCAATAGAGATTGCCATTTGATGCTCTTTACTTCCGTGAGCGATTGTGTTATGGTCTTTAGTTGCGTTCTTTGCAAGTGTGTGAGAGCTCTTTTGGTGTGGCAGTGACATTTAAGCCAGCCGGGCTGTGCTGTGAGTCCTGCACTCACTTTAATTGAAACAGATGGAGAGTCTGGGGCATGGCCGCAGGGCCCATATGCAGAGCCTTCTCACAGACACTAACACTTCCACTGCGAGCTCTATGACTGCTACTAAACCGTCAAACCGTAAAACACAGGGCAAGACTGCTCCTAATAAGCAGAGCTGACTAATGCAATATCCTCAATAAAGCAGCAGCACTTCATTCCACAGAAAACACTTTGATATCAGAACTGTATCAGAAAACTCCACAGCCGGAATTAAAGAGCGAGGCCAAGAGGAAAGTGAGAAAGTGTGTTTAAGTGGATGACCAAGTGAGTGAGAGAGAACGAGGGACATACTGACAGACAGACAGGCAAACAATACGAATTTTTGACATTTTGAATTTTAAATCTGTGTTACTAAAGAGACTTCAGAAACCAAGAGAAACAGCTCCATACTTGGTCAATCAAGACTTACTACCACACATTCCAATGACGGAATCACACAGTATGAAACAGTACACAACCACTTCCAACACTTTTTGGTTAAAGAAGTCAGGGGGTGCACTCAGAGGTGTGTACTCTACTCAGGGTAGTGTAGCAACCCATACTTACACAAAAGTATTTTTACCTCTGTGCAATAAGGAATCATGTAAAAGTAAAAGTAGAAGTGAAAGAAATCAAAAAGCTACTGAACTGCAGAATAACATATTGAACTGCAGAGGAACCTCTTAGTACATACAGCATAGAGGTGGGCAATATGATGATATTTTATCCCAATTGTGATAAATTACGTCACAATGTGCTCTTCTGAGCTTAACATGGATGTCATCGGTATATAAAGAGCAATGACTAACTGCTTGTTTCGTTACAAAAAATCATATGTACAGGATTGAGTGCAATGCATTATGTGAACTGTGAAAACCACTGTACATTGTACCATTGTTTTTCATAGTATTTTTAATGTAGCCTATTTTGCCTCTCCAGCTTATCAAACATCATTTCCTGATGTATACTGTGTATCACGAAAATATCCTCAAACATTGTGATCTTATGTTTTGGCCATGTTGCCCACCCTTAATCCAGTATTAATCAGCATAGACACTAAAGTTTATTGAGCTTTGATCTCTCTTTTTGATGCACCCTTGATCTAAAATAAAGTGGTAAACCTTCAGAGGTGTGACTAATCGTAAAGCAGTACAGATGTTGTCACCAACAAAACATAATGTGATTCAAAAGAAAAAAGTGAATTCAATGCTAAGCATTAATGACTGAAATATAACTGAAATATAAGAGTAGTTTTCTTTCCTCATAAATACAGTTCAGTAAATGTAAAGTTATTGTCATTTAAAAGCCTTCAGTAAAAGGTAAATACATCAAAATCTGACTTGAGTACATGTAACTGAATAAGTGTAACTAATTACTACCAACCTCTGGTGCACAGTAACATTGCTCATTGTAGATCCATATATCAGTAGTGTAATTCAGTTGGATTTATATCAATCAACCGATGATAGAAAATATCCAGATTACTTAACAACCTTTAGCTAGCTTTAAAAAATGGTGGGCCAAAAAGTGAGGCATGTACCCCCAGTGGAAACTATCCTTACGTACATGAAAACAATACCTAATAAACGTCTGTGAGTAACCTATGTTTATAAGTCTAAAGTCAATACAGGTCGATTTAAAAGAGTAACTGAGAGCAGATACAGGGTATTACCTTGTTTGTGTTCAGAAAACAGCCAGGTAATCCAAAATATCAGTCCCTCTGTGCTGAAAAGAATGAAAAGAAAACAGTCTCCTAAAGAGGGATCAAGCGGACGTTCCTCTTACAAACTACGGCTTAAAAATTACTCAGATACCAGCTAGCTACCTCCCATAGCATTTCTGGAACAGCGAGAGAGAGGGAGAGAGAGAGAGAGAGAGAGAGAGAGAGAGAGAGATAGAATGAAAGCCATTCACCTGTTGAAGAGCTGATCAGATAATGCAAGTTGTCCCGTGTCTGCTGTGCTGATCTGGGAGCAGATGTGTGTGACCAAAGCATGAAGCGAGAGGCAGATAGAGCTGCTCATTCTGCTCTTTGTGCTGCTCTCAGGTCAGTGGTCAGGCCAGGCTCGCATTGCCCCCACGTGTGAAGCTGATAGGAGCCAGTGTAAGAGGATCCACTTTTGGCTGGGCCTGAAAACAATACCTGCTCATTCAGGCACTGGCGCTATGTGTGTGGTGGGAGGGATGCTGGGTGGGGAGGCTTCAGTGAAATAAGCTTGTCAACGTTTGGCTGCTATCTCATGATAGCCTTCCTCTTGGGCTCTACATATTAAAAATGGGCATTGTTCTGTCCACACAGACACACGCATACACTGCACCAAGGAGTAACAGTCCAGTTAGATTTGACATAGTAGCCTTCCTCTCTGACTAGCTACATTCAGTGTAAATAGGCATTCTTTTGCATGCAAACACACAAACACAGAGCTGGCACTAAGGGGCAGTAGTCCAGTTATACTCATTCTGCACGGACTCCAGGCTGAATTGTTCTGTCTTGGCTCAGGACCTCAGTGCGGTGAATGAAAAGGGAGGCACATATACACGTACACAATAGGCATTGTTTCCCAGAAATAGTCATTCTTTAACATTTTATGAGGTCTATTTTGCCAAGGAAAATTAAGGAACACTCTCAAAAATATATATTAGGACACACGGTTCTAACATGTGGCCCCAATATGGTTTGTATCCAGCCTGCCTGAAAAATTTAGGAAGCTTTCACACCTAATTTTTCCTTAGTTCAGCCGTTTTTGACAGGTGTGGTACTAGAGTCCAAACCACACACCTAAACCATAGTCCGCAAAAAATCGTGGGTTTCGGCCAGCTTCCAAATGAACCCTGGTTCAGTTCTCTGCTGGTGGGAATGTGTTTTTATGATGGTCTGCACCAAACAAGGGATTTCAACATGAGAGCAGGCTTTCCTCTATTTTTCTAGCAGCACATCACGCTGTACTGTCCAGATAATCTGCCTGTTTTAATGTCTCTTGACAGATGCTCATATCTTCCCATCAGCATGAGCTGCTGCTGCTAACAGCAGATGAGCAATAAATGAGATGAGCAATGTGTTTGATTTTGGCACATGGACTGCTGCATGCCTTGCATCAGTAACCTGATTACATTCAGGTTACATTCTAAATCAATAAGCCATCAATAAAGAAGCAGACAAGTAATATTGTTTATTATTGCTTTGATTGTGACACACATAAATGTTAAGCATCTCTGTTTTCAGGCAAAATTTCTGACCAATAAACAAACACCCACATGTATAGTTTAATCATAATGTAACCAAACTCTGGTGTGGACTTTATCAAGCAAACTATGTGTGAAAACAGCCAGAGGATCCATGTTTTAAATTGATTTGTCTTGTGGACCATAAATGACCATTTGCAAAACAATGACTGACATGACACTCAACCAATCGCCGCAACCAGTTGCAGCCTCTGATCAACTCTGGAATGAAGCACTAAATTAGTCACACTTATCAACTTAAGAGAAGTAAAAGGTGTTGCTGAGAAACATCCATCCATCCATCCATCATCTAAACCGCTTATCCTTCTGGGTCACGGTGGGGAGCTGGAGCCTATCCCAGCTGTCTGCTGAGAAACATTCATTCAGATATAATGCTATCCTGATGATCTGTAGAATCATGCTGTTTTCTTTTCAGTCCTAAAGCTCACAATTTAATGTCAAAACTAATAACAAGCAGCTCTAAGATAAGCTTACTTGCTATTTGCTAACATTCATTTTAATATGACATCTAAAAATACATAACCTAGCAAAACAGTGTTAATTCAGTGAGTTAGCTACATTAACTTAATTAATTAGTCACATTTAACAGGAATGTTGATGGAATATACACCTGATGGGGTGGTGTTGTGTTAGAGTGCGTTGTGTTGGTCTGAGTGGATCAGACACAGCAGTGCTTTGGAGTTTTTAAATGCCTCAGTGTCACTGCTGGACTGAGAATAGTCCACCAACCAAACATCCAGCCAACAGCGTTCTTTGGGCAGCATCCTGTATCCATTGATGAAGGACTAGAGGATGACCAACACAAACTGTGCAGCAACAGATGAGCTGTTGTCTCTGACTTTACATCTACAAGGTGGACCAACAAGGTAGGAGTGTCTAATAGAGTGGACAGTGAGTGGACACGGTTTTTAAAAATACTTGCACATCTCATTTACAAAAATGTTTTTTTAATCCTCTAGACGCCACAGTGGCCTCTACTGGCTGCTCTGCATTGCACTTTATTGGCTTCAGATGTGATTTAATGAGGTGAATTCTGACAGAGAAAATAATAATTACAGCAATCTTCAACGCAAAGTACATATTAGATCATTAGATATTTAGTTTTTTAATCCAAATAGTCCAGGTTTTTGCGTCCCTCTTTATGATGAAACCCCCAGTGAGGATGAGATTTACAGCGCTTAACTATGTTCTGTTTATCAGATACAGACATGTTTACATTTACTTTTATGACATTTAGCAGATGCTCTTATCCAGAGTGACTTACAAAGTGGTTTTGCAAAAGTGCAAATGAGTCTGACAGGATTTGAGCTCAGCCAGACAGCTGTAATGATATGGAGTTCAAGATGGAAATCTGTTAAAATCTTTGTTAAGTAATGTGTTTTCATAGTTATTTTAGCTGCTTTACTGAACACACAGCCAAGTTCGTTATTCAATCTAAGTGAGAAAACTGCAAAGATAAATCTTGCTCAGTGTCGATGACTTCGTGTTGTTATTTCAATTGGTACCAATTTGCATCAATTTCTAGGGACAGTCAATAACCTGTATAAATCAACTAAACTGGTATGCTAGTCTGTTATCTCACCTTCCAGGTAGACTCAGTCCCTCAGTTACACTCACCAAGTGAGTGATTGAAGAAGCACTTATAATTGCTATTACAATTTCAAAGCTCATTTCTCCTTCACTCCTGGGCCTACAGCTCTGTGTTTTGGTTTTGTTTATGTATTAAAGAGAACAAGAATTAAGAAGAATTCATATGTATTAATTAGAACAAGAAGCTGGCGAATGAGAAGTTGACTTCAGCTTCATAAAAGTCGAGTGCTGAGAGACAGTTTACAAGAAACTATTCTAATTTTGAGGAAACGTTTCTTGTTGAAGATGTGAGATAAGCAGCTCCAGCTGAGCTACAGCTTAAAGCAGAGCAAAGAAAGTCTGCATTTCACTTTATTATATTTTATGGCCCATACTAGTTCTTTAGCACATACTGAGACATATTTACAGCCAAGGTGGTAAAATGGACATAAATGTTGTGGCTCTCAAGGTGGCATGACTTTTGTTGAAAGTACAAAATGGTTTTCAACATTTGGGTTACTGGCCCCTTTTTCTACATCATCGCTCCAAATAAACCTTTATGACACCTTTATTTTTAAGAGTTTTTAAGAGATTTTAGAAATTGTAAGCAATTAAAATACCATCATTTGTAATAAATGTGAACACTGTTTTAGTTAAGGCATAGGATAAAAATGAGAAATGCATTAAAAAGATCTTCAGACGAACAGATCAAATGTGCACCACACACACATGTATACATATAGGCACACACATACATAAACACGATCAAAACAGCCTCACAGCAGTCTGCTCAATAGCAGTGTTACAATGAAGCATGCATGACTTTATGGAATGCAATATACCTCCGAAATATAACTCGTAAAACTTTAATTGAATCACTGGAAGGTGAAATGATTCCCTCAATGGGATTTAGGTCACCGTGAACACAGAGGAGACCACAAGGTCCCTACAGCATAAACACAAGCACCCAAGCCATTAATAGCATCATTGCGTTACTGCAACACACACAAACACACACTCATAAGAATCCCCAGTGCTGAATGAACCTCCAATCAGGTCAAGTAAATCACATTCAGTTCAGCAGGGGGACATTTAACTGGTCAGATGATGCTAATGGTTTGAGCGTGTAGATATGCATGTGCATGCATGCCCATCTACAGTGTAAACAAAGATTATGGGCTAGATTGATTTCCCCTGTCTTTAGCCCACAACCCACTCATTCAGATTCATCAACACAGAGTGAGACAGCAGCAGAGCTGAGGATTGTAAGAGTGTGTTGGAGTGGGTGAATGTGAGGACAGTACCACTGAGTCTGTGTCAAAAAGTCTTGACTTTACACCAAATCCAAAGAAAAATAGGTTAACCTACAAAACTGTAAAAAAAGAAATGCTTTTTTTACCTGCTTATTGATGTGTCAGCTCTCCAAAATTATCCAAAATTCAAAAAGTGTACGTAGCCTATACTCAACAAATGACTAAGCAAAAGCTTATTAGCTGCTCAAACCATTTTTTAAAACATTTTAAAGTTGACGTTTCGGGTCATGACGTCCACAACACCATTTAAAATAAGTCACACGTTGTTTAACACGTGTTTAACAGGTGTCACATGTCTTTCGCATAATAATAACATGATCATCAAAACTTCCATGACCAAAGTGTGGCCCACAGACCAAAGCTTGTCTGTGAGGGCATTTGATTTAGCCCAACAGTCAGTTACCCTCAGTAGACCCCACCTCCTCATGCAATACATAATGTATTAAATTACTCCTTGCATTTTAAGAATTAAAAAGTATTTTAGTAACAAAATATAGTGTAATGTTATAAAATACATTTAATTCATTTTGAAACTATCTGTCTTATTTTATTATTTATCATTCTTTTTTGTACATTATTTTTTTGACCATTTGACCACAAATATTGTAATAAAGTGTGGGCTCCCCTAGACTATGGTGAAGGGTTAAATACAATACTTCCACACAAGCATCATTCAGACAATATCATCATTTAACATCA